TGGGTTTAAAATTACAAATCACAGTCTCATCCCACGTTATTAACATGAAGATTCCTCGTGGTTGCATTTCTTGATCAGAGCAACAAGGTTATATATACGGGGGAATAACCAAGCCTAGTGTCACCAGTACAAACATGTGACAAAACACATTCACTTTACATAGCGGGATCGTAAATTATCAAAACTTTATCTCATTTACAAAATAACCTGACCATCAATTACAAGTAGATCTTCGAAGATATTACAAAAAAAAATGTTAAAAGACGATTATACTCTTTGCGTACAAGTCTTGCAAGATTGATTCAACAAGTGTTTCTATGTTTTTTAATTTTTCCTGCCCCAAAACTCCGACCACGAGATAAAAAATTAAATCTAGTTTTTTTCCTCTTAAACTCAAGGTTTATGAAAATTTTTACCCAATTTGGATGTTTTAAAATGACCCTCTCTATCGATCTCTACTATTCTGGGCCAACGTACATGTAATTTTGTGGGTGTGCTTCACACCTGTAATATCTGAGTGGACCCTACATTTTTTTTGAAAATTTTCAAATCTATGCATTTAGTAAACACTCACTCCATATCAATTTCTCTAAATATATCTATCCAGGTACAATCCGTCCGATATCAAACTCAACCAGGACTGAATTCCAGGCTCTAAATGCCACACAGGGACACAAGTGTAGCTATCAAACATGCTATTTAAAACGATCCCAAATGATAGGGATGAGCCAATGTTTTCAATGCCACACAGAGACACAATCCACATGGCTACAATCTCTATCAACGCCACTACACGGGGCTCAATCTCATTAACTAACGGTGTCAATAAAGACACTAGCAATCAATTGATCAATGTCTCAAACAGGACACGATCCACACGATGTTATCGTTATTATTACTTATTTATCGCACAGGTAAAGTTTAGTATACATATTTATAGGATTAGAGAGAATATATATAACGCAGTTAAGCTATCTCTGCACACGTTTTATAGCGTAATTTTAAGTACAGGGTGTCCCACGAAACATGACAATAGCAAGACGACTTGAAAGTCGTCTTTGATATTTGAATTTATTTTGAACGACAAAATGTAAATGGACCAAATGTATATTTGAGTTGACGAAATGTAAGGTTGACAAAATGTAAATTGACCCATATAAATTGGAAGGTGCTTAAATTACACAGACATTCCTTTTCAGGTGTCTACAATTTTAAAATCTTTTTTTTTAACTGCACTTTAACTAACCGGACCACCGACTAAAGCATAATTTAGAACTTTTTTTCCGACAACAAAAATATATATTTCAGTAGGATTCGATATAACTATGGTAATTTTCTATATAAATAAAAACAAGAGTTAAGTTTAGAGAAATTAATATGGCCATTGATTTTATTCCAATATCTGACAATCTCCGGAAGATTATAAATGTCGTCGTTTTCAAATTGAATTTCTAAAGCAAACACTTGAACTTGAGGAGGGATGATAGTTCTCTACCTGTGTCCTCAGTTAGCTGTACTGTACACTTACAACTGTTTACTAATATTGTTATACTATAGGTTAGGCCAGAATCAACTTATGATAAACAAATATGCAGTACGCTCTCGTTATAGTTTATGGCCTATATAATCAGTAAAGGATTAGCGTACATTATCACTCTATACACTATACTTACAACTGTTTACTATAGATTAGGCCAGAATCTCCTTATTATAAACAAATGTTGTATAGTTCATGGCCTATACAATTAGTAAAGGATTAGCGTACATCATCACTCTATACACTATAACCTCGTTGAATTTGTCCCATAAATATGACAGAAGCAAGACGCCTTAAATGTCGTCTTTGATCCTTGAAATAATTTCAGCCTTTTATTTATAAGCCACTTTTTTAAAAGTATAATTCTAGAATCACAAAATACCCTCAAGTCTTGGGATTTCCAAAATGTGGGTTGCCTTTTTGTGCTTTCAATATTACCGGAAATAAGAAGACTTTTGTTAAGATTTCGAAAATTTTGGTTGTATTTAATAAAACTAAAATCTCAACAAAACTCTCAATATCGCCGGTAATGTTGGCAACACAAAAAAGGCAGACCACATTTTGGAAATCCCTGGACTAGAATATCCTTATTGTTATTACGGGTTATTGCTTTAAGAAACATACACTAAAAGACTGGATGTCTCAAATAAATTCAAAGATCAGAGACGACTTTCAAATGCTACTGTCATGTTTCGTGGGACTTCTTTATAATTTTGTGATTATTTGTAAATCAAAAGTTGAGTTCCTATTTTGTGAAATTCGGATCAGCTAAAAACCTACATTTGGTTCCTAAAAAAATTTGGGCCGGATCGATTCAGACTTTTGACGTTTATTGGATACAAACAAACAGAAAATACTTCATTAGACTTATCAGTGGTGGAAATAACATCGATAAAAAAAATCGATAAAAATCAGGTCAGAAAAATTCTCTTGTTGGGTTTCTCTATAGGTCGGACAACTTTTGTCCTTTTGACCTATTTGTCAACAACTTATACAACTTACAAAATTATTGCGCTCAATCATAAATTACAAAATCATGGATTTACGATCTTCTGAATATGTGAGAAATATTATTTTATCCATTTAGCTAGTTTGTTTGGGAATATTTTTAAATATCAAATCATGCATTTTCAAACACGCCTTGTTCGATAATTTAAATGGCAGAAGTAAACTAGGATTATTTTGCTGTGTATTTGGGTAGCTTGATATTGAAATAGTTTGCACGGTTTTATTTAGAAATTTTTAAAAGTTTGTAATGCAATATTAGAATATAATATTCGATTTAACAATGCTCATTTGCACTAAAACTAAATTAAATTACAATTTTTGCCAATTGAACACTACTGTGCATTCAAGGAGTTGAGTCTTTACCACAAACTCAGATTGCCATTCCTAGGACTCATCTTTGCAACCCAATGTCGTATACCTTAGATAGTTAAAACTGTGAATTCTGTTAGATCATATAATTTAAGTTTAGATTATCAAAGGTTGCAAAGATACAGGGATTAAGTAGATTTGAGAGTGTTGCCACGACTCAATTCCTTTAATTTATTGGATATGGAAATATTGAGAGAAAATTGTAAATCTTTTTTATTTGGATTATTAAACAAATATTTAAATAAATTTATTTTCGTCCGGAAAATGACAAAAATAATTTTATTGTCCTAGATGATTTCCGTTGTTAACCCTATCACGGAGGGGGGGGGGTAAATTAGAACTTTTTCAACTTCATAATTGTCAACAACTTTTGCTAACATTTTTTTTTGCATTATAGGATATGATGGAGAACACACAAACTGCGGGTCGGTGTTTCAAAAAAATCAGAAATGGTTAATAACTTTTTTATTAATTAAGCTACGGGTTGAAATTTATATGTTAAAAAAGTTGGATGTAATAACATGAGTCACATGTTAATATTTATCATAAGTAAAAAACATTTATTTTCAAAATATTTTCCAACCTACTTTTTGAACTTTTTTAAAATCCTCCCTTGCACCCTTATAATTAAAGATAGAGGTCAATTTTTTTTAGTGAGCAGGCCTTGAAACGTTTGACTAGGGACATGTATCACACTGTCCTATCTCAACTCTTAGGGAAAAATCAATCTATAATAGACAAAATTAGCCCAGGATAAACTTTATACTCAGCATCTGCCTTTTCTTACACATCTTTCTACTGCTCATCTAACATTTTCAGCATATTCTGATAATTATTTATTAAAGCAAAAATGTCAAGTGATCGGCGTTTATATCAATACAATAAAGACGACTTTTCTGTTTCGGTGTCTAGTAAGGTTTTTTCCAAATTACAATTTTACAAGAAAGAGAGGCTTTTAATTGACAGATTCTCTTAGATTCCATGTTTATGTGTATCCAAATCCATGCTGTTTGAATTCAAGTAGAAATCGTCTTCATTGTGTTTATATAAGATGACTGTAAGATAAAATTTTACAAGCAATTCAAGCTAAATGAAAACAATTTGTTTTTATGTCAAAATACACATGACATAGAAAATGGTTCATAAACAAAAATAAGTCGTTATATTTAACGCTAATTTTAGATTAGGAAAAATGTAAAAAGCGATTTTTGCGTCAATCTGGAAACCAGAATGCAGCAAGACTACTTGAAGGTCATCTTTGATCCTTTAATTTATTTCCGACATTTATTTGTTAACCTAATCTAAGAAGTAAAGTCTAGAGTTGATAATAATAATAATTAATAATAAGCCTTTTTTGTGCTTTCAATATTACAGGAAATATAAAGAATTTCGTTCATATTTAGACAATTTTGGTTTTATTTAATAAAAATAATAATCTGAACGAAATTCTTTATATATTGATTTTTAAGCTAAGGTAATATTGAAAGCACAAAAAAGGCAGAATACATTTTAGAAATGCCAGGACTAGAAGAATTTTATGGTTATTGTTTTAAGAATCATACATGTTAAAGTGATTTGACAACTGACTGCATAAAGAAATTCAAAGATAAAAGACGACTTTCAAGTCGTCTTCCTACTGTCATGTTTTGTGGTACACACTGTAAATTCTAGAATGTTTGGATGCAATATTCAAATATTTCCATTTTTTTAAAGAAAAATAATTATTCACACGTTATCATTTCAAATATTCAAAACTAAAACTAAAATTTATTGAAAAGTTCATAATTAAAACTGAAATTTCAAAGGAAAGCTTAATCTCAAGCGAACCTTCATAAGATGGTATAATGCTCAATTCCCCACTGTATCCTTAAAATCTTTATCTGATTAATAACATGGAAGATAGAGTCATTTGAATAGATTGGTAAATATTTAAATCTAATAAATCCTAACGTTTCTTTCAGTTGAAAGTCACAATTGTAGAGACACCACAGTTGAAAATAGTCAATATTTTTAATTACAAACATTGATATCTAATTCTTACTTGATCAAACAAAGCTTTCAAGGATACCGTTGTGAATCGGGCATTACCATTTTTGCATGGAGGGTCACTTAAAATTTGAATTACAGTCCCATTAAATTGCTCTTTTCGTTTATTGACAACTTAAAAATTGATGGGTTTTTAATTGAAATTTCTGTATAATGGGGCGTTTTTCCAAAACAAGAATTGACAGAAATAGTTAAGGTGCTTTTTAAAAAAGAACGAAAAATTTCAAAAAAATTTCAAAAATGAAAATTTAGTTTTCAACAAATTAACAAAGACGTGACACATGCTTTTTAAGTTATTTCCCCAAGGGCTTTACATATATGTAAGATATAGCAATTAAATCACACGAAAAAAAAGCTACTTTAGACGTTTTTTTTTTGAAAAACAGCCCACCCTTTTGACCAACCTGTACCCGATCCAATGTATGAAATAAGTTTTTTTTAAATACAAATGGTATGCTATGAATTCTAACAAAGTCAAAATTTAAACACTATAATGCTGCTACAGGACCAGCATTATATACAGCAGTCACTCCCAGGCCCAGCTCCAGAAAAGAAATCACGACAATTTTGCCGCTTACATCTCAGGCTACCCTTGCAGTGCGCGTCACTATCAAATTATAAAAATAATGATGAGAGATACTCTTATATGTTATTATTTTCTTTCAAATAAGAATAAAATTTATCTTTTTATTATATACTTGGTGTTTCTTTAAAAAATTGCGTTTAAGCTTAACCGCTCACTACGTTTTACTGTACTAAACAGTTTTTTATAGTAGGACAATGCCTAAATAACTGATTATTTCAAACAAAATGTTTAGAATTTCTTTATACTTTAGTTTAATGGTATTTCAAACAAAATGTTCAGAATTTCTTAATACTTTAGTTTAATGGTATTTCAAACAAAATGTTCAGAATTTCTTAAAACTTTAGTTTAATGATATTTCAAACAAAATATTTAGAATTTCCTAAAAATTTAGTTTAATGATACTCAAACAAAATGTTTAGAATTTCTTCATACTCTAGTTTAATGGTAAATCAAACAAAATGTTTAGAATTTCTTAATACTTTAAAATTTATGGTATTTCAAACAAAATGTTCAGAATTTCTTAATACTTTAGTTTAAAGATATTTCAAAAGAAATATTTAAAATTTCTTAATAATTTAGTTTAATGATATTTCAAACAAATGTTTAGAATTTATGCTTGCTGTAGTTTCATGGGTATTTGTAAAAATGTTCATAATTTCTGAATACTTTAGTTAAATGGTATTTCAAACAAAATGTTTAGAATTTCTTAATTCTTTAGTTTAATGATATTTCAAACAAAATGTTTAGAATTTCTTGATACGTTTAATAGTATTTCAAACAAAGCGTTTAGAGTTTCTTAATACTTTAGTTTAACGGTACTTCAAACAAAATGTTTAGAATTTTTTAATTCTTCAGTTTAATGGTATTTCAAACAATATGTTTAGAATTTCTTAGTTCTTTAGTTTAATGGTATTTCAAACAATATGTTTAGAATTTCTTAATACTTTAGTTTAATGGTATTTTAAACAATATGTTTAGAATTTCTTAATACTTTAGTTTAATGGTAATTTAAACAAAATATTTAGAATTTCTTAATTCTTTAGTTTAATAATATTTCAAACAATATGTTGTAATATTTCAAGGCGTAGTTTTCCTTGTTTAATCCGGTTGAATCCGTTTAAAACCTTTATCATATCTCCTGAGCTGAAATCCATTATTGAAGCCAGAGATGAGGCAATGTACCCAGAACCTTAGAACCGAATAGACATTGAGCAAGCTCTGTTTTTTCCGTCAAGGTCTGGGGACTTACACTCCATTGATTGCGAACAGAACACTCAAAGGTAACTGATAATAGGTAGAGGATACTTTGGATACTTTGGATACTGTGGAGATCTTGGATATTGTGGATCCTTTGGAGACTATAGATCTAGAGCAGATTGATAGAGAGCTAGGATTGATCATAAAGATCACCAGTTTTATGAACTACAGGAGAACTACAAAGAGAGGATCATGGATCCACAGCAGATTGAGGGATAACTAGGATTATTATAAATCACCAGTTATATGAACCACAGGAGAGCTACAAAGAGAGGATCATGGATCCACAGCAGATTGATAGATAACTAGGATGATCATACATCACCAGTTATATTAACTACAGGAGAGCTACAAGGAGAAGATCATGGAGCAAAGCAGACTAAAGATCACAGAGATATAGAGCAGACTGTAGATCAGCAGAGATGCTGAACAGACTACAGATCACTGAGATATAGAGCAGACTTTAGATCAGCAGAGATGCAGAACAGACTACAGATCACAGGGATATAGAGCAGACTGTAGATCAACAGAGATCCAGAGCAGACTACAGATCACAGGGATATAGAACAGACTGTAGATCAACAGAGATCCAGAGCAGACTACAGATCACAGGGATAAAGAACAGACTGTAGATCAACAGAGATGCAGAGCAGACTACAGATCACAGAGATATAGAGCAGACTGCAGATCAATCGAGATGCAGAAGACTACTGATCACAGAGATATAGAGCAGATGTAGATCAGCAGAGATGCAGAACAGACTACAGATCACTGAGATATAGAGCAGACTGTAGATCAACTGAGATGCAGAGCAGACTACAGATCACAGAGACATAGAGCAGATGTAGATCAGCAGAGATGCAGAGCCATAGAGAATAGAATATATAGAGAGGAATTAAAAGAATCTCTCGGTATGAATTTTTTCAGTCCCTTTCTGCCTGAAAGGGAGTTCAAAGTGTACAAATCATGTAAATGTTCACAAATTATATGCAGTAGAGTACATTAATACAGTATGTTCCCTAGACTATTCATTTCAATTTCGAATTTTTTAAACTGTTAAATAAACTTTATAAAATTAATTAGGTGAATAAAAACATCATTTGATTTATAGTTATAACACAAAATCATCGTTTGTAAAGTGGAAGGCATAGCGTCTATGTGAAATGATCATTGGTCAATTATGAAACCAGCCTATTTCATAATTTGGTTTTCTTTTAAAAATAATTTTAGATTTTCTATAAAATGATATTCCAGGGCCCAACAGGTTATATAGCATAAATATGTGAAGTACACCTGCAGTATGGAAACAGTACAACAAAATGGCCGTTTTACACTTTTTTCCATTAAATTCCTCTCTATGTATTCTATTCTCTATGTGCAGAGCAGACTAAAGATCACAGAAATATAGAGCAGACTGTAGATATCGAGGATAATGCAGATACTGTAGACACTGTGGAGTGTGGATGCTGCATATAAGGTGGATACTAGAGCATATTGGTAGATAGCTAGGATTGATCAGGAGATCACCTGTTATGTGATCTACAGAAGGACAAGGAGAGCCATGATCATTGGGAAGATCTACCCCGGATTAGCTGAGACCACATCTAGCCCAGCAGGGAACAGAGGCTCAGATGAACTGCTCAGGGACTCTTTGGACCTATGGAATGCAGATTAGATAGGAAACCGTTATAACAGATATTTTTATGCCAATAAATGTGAACTAATACATCTCGGTTATTAAACCTATGGTTGAGGACCTGAAGAGATAGCTATTACGAGTAAAGATGGTTACATTATGGTACGGGAATAAGTAGGAGAAAACCTTTGCACAAACCCATATGGTAGAGGGGAAATTGGTTGATCTTGCTATTCCTAGGATTTATGTCTGGAAACTGTTGTAAACGAAGAGACCGTTAAAGACTATAACAATGTTTAGAATTTCTTAATACTTGGTATTTTAAACAAAATTTTCAGAACTTTTGATCGTTGTAGTTTAATGGGTATTTTAAAGAATGTTAATAATTTCTGAATACTTTATAGTTTAATAGTATTTCAAACTAAATGTTTAGAATTTCTGAATGCTTTCGTTAAATGGTATTTCAAACAAAATGTTCAGAATTTCTGAATGCTTTCGTTGAATGGTATTTCAAACAAAATGTTCAGAATTTCTGAATACTTTAGTTTAATGATATTTCAAACTAAATGTTTAGAATTTCTTAATACTTTAGTTTAAATTGTATTTTAAACGAAATGCAGAAATTCTGATAGTTGTAGTTTAATAGTATTTAAAAAAATGTTCATAATTTCTTAATACTTTAGTTGAATGGTACTTCAAACAAAATGAGTTTGTTAACCTGTCACAGTCTCCCTTCCCATAGTCACAAGGGTTAGCAGTGGTGCAGCAATCAGTATCCAAGTTTTCCCGACCCAAGCAATCTATAACATATAACAATGTCATTATAATAGCAACTTTTTAATTTAAAGGGTTTGTTAATATAATGTCAAGCGCATCTTAAAATTCTTTTACTTTTTATCTAGCTTTAGATGCATAAGCTTGGATTGAATGGCTAGGCAATGTTTTTACGTTCATCAATCCATTATTGTTTGAGGAGGAGCGGGGGGGGGGAATCCCTCCTTCCCCCCTCCCACACCCCACCTACATAAGACAAAAATAGCTCAACTGGGATGGGGGTAACGGTTTTTGTAAAACTTTAGAAAGAGGCTGATAAAGTGAACATTTATTTTTTACATTTACTTTTTTTCTGTCATTAATATAGTGTTGGCTAAATATTTGAATTTCTTATTGATGTCGATGCTAATTATTCTTAACAACAGAACATGATCAACTATTTTTACCTCTACGGCAACCTCCACTTGGAGTCCAATCATACCATCCAATTATACAGGTGCAATAATAGCTTCCAAGAGTGTTATAACAATTTTGATAGTTGCTTCCACAAAGCACAAAGTTATTGCCTAAAGAGAAAAACATCTTTTTTCGTAAAAATTTTATTAATATGGTCCTCTTAAGTCTTGAATCTTAATTCTTAAGCCTATTTTTACCCTACAAACTTGAATTTAAACAAATTCGAAATTTATACTTGTAAATTTTTCTTACGGCAACATATTGTTAAAATCATATATCTATAGGTCATTTTGAACTGGGCCTTATTTTTGTATAGCAAAACTATGTGCAACAAATCTAGGTTTTAAATATTGATTTTTATCTAGAAATGAAGCTTTAATATATTTTATATAATCAGAAAGTGTTTAACTTTTAGAGTGATGTAAATCTGAATGTTTTAAAGTTAGAATGTCCAACTATAATGATATCTATCCTTGACTATCTATATATAAATTTGGCTTGTATGGGTGTTTGTTTGCTTGTTTGTTTGTTTGTATCCAAAAAACGTCAAAACGGCTGAACCGATCGGGACATCACGTAACCACAGGGAAGGTTTATGAATGTTAAAAATTTTAAAAAAAATGTGTTTTAAAGGTTTTTAATTTTATAAAAAAAATTTAAATTCTTGAAAATCCGCGAATTGTTTTTTAAAAATCCGCAAAATTTGTTTCTTCTTTGTTTTAAAATGTAAACAAAAAGAACATGTTCACAATTTAAATAGAAGATGGGCGCGAAGCGCCCTAAAAGCCTAGTATACTTATATTTCATAAACCTGTCTTATAGCCACGCAAAGTTTAAAACAAAGTGAAGAGTATAACTGAAAGTCAAACTCTTGTTATTTACGCTAAGATCTTTAGGAACAGTTTCTAGATATTTGATTTACAGTACTCATTCTTTTGTTCAAAACTCAAAAAGACAGATACTCGAATGGGGGTAAAATGGCTTTCAAATCTCACGATCTCATGTCCACAGATTACATTTCAAATCTCATGATCTCATGTCCACAGATTACATTTCAAATCTCATGATCTCATGTCCACAGATTACATTTCAAATCTCATGATCTCATGTCCACAGATTACATTTCAAATCTCATGATCTCATGTCCACAAATTACATTTCAAATGCATGTTTTAAAGGCTCACAAGCTTGAATGTTCCAAACATAATGAAACAAATTATAATTGATTTATAAATAATTGAAACTTCTATTCCCTTCTATCAAACTGCACCCCATTGGTTTAATTATTGTTATACCTGTACATTCGTTAATATCTGAACAGCCTTCGTAAGGGACTAATTTTTCAAACCCAACCTTGCATTCACATCTGAAACTACCAGCAGTGTTCACACAGTTGGTATTAGGTCTGAAAAATGTAAAAACATTCGTGAAAATCAAATTTTTCTTCATGCTAAACCTTTCTGTTACTCTGTGTACAAGTATTTTGTACCCAATATTACTTTTTTTTTAATATTTTGTGTAACCAATATTACTTTGTCCTTGTGTACTTAATATCACTCTCTTTATACATGTATTGCTTATTCAATGTTACTCTGTTTGTGATTTTTTACTCAACATTACTCTGTTTATGTTTATTGTGTACCCGATGTTACTCTGTGTATGAGAATTGTGTACCCAATGTTTCTCTGTGTATAAGTACTGTGTACCCAATGTACTCTGTGTGTGAGTATTGTGTGTTCAATGTTACTTTGTGTATGAGTATTGTGTACCCAATGTTACTCTGTGTGTGAGTATTGTGTACCCAATGTTACTCTGTAAATGTGTATTGTGTACCCAATATTTCTCTGTGTGTGAGTATTGTGTACCCAATATTACTCTGTGTATGAGTACTTTCTGCCCAATGTTACTCTGTGTATGTGTATTATGTACCCAATGTTACTCTGTGTGTGAGTAATGTGTACCCAGTATTACTCTGTGTATGAGTACTTTTTGCCCAATGTTATTCTGTGTATGTGTATAATGTACCCGATGTTACTTTGTGTGTGAGTATTGTGTACCCAATGTTACTCTGTGTGTGAGTATTGTGTACCCAGTATTACTATGTGTATGATCACTTTTTGCCCAATGTTACTCTGTGTATGTGTATAATGTACCTAATGTTACTCTGTGTGTGAGTAATGTGTACCCAGTATTACTCTGTGTATGAGTACTTTTTGCCCAATGTTACTCTGTGTATGAGTATTGTGTACCAATGTTACTCTGTGTATGAGCACTGTAGACCAATGTTACTCTGTGTATGAGAACTTTTTGCCCAATGTTACTCTGTGTATGAGCATTGTGTACCCAATGTTATTCTGTGTGTGTGTATTGTGTACCAATGTTACTCTGTGTACGAGTATTGTGTACCCAATGTTACTCTATGTATAAGTACTGTGTTCCCAATGTTACTCTGTGTGTGAGTATTGTGTATGTAATGTTACTCTGTGTATGTGTATTGTGTACCAATGTTACTCTGTGTATGTGTATTATGTACCAATGTTACTCTGTGTATGTGTATTGTGTACCCAATGTTACTCTGTGTATGTGTATTATGTACCCAATGTTACTCTTTGTGTGAGTATTGTGTACCCAGTATTACTCTGTGTATGAGTACTTTTTGCCCAATGTTACTCTGTGTATGTGTATTGTGTACCAATGTTACTCTGTGTATGAGCACTGTGTACCAATGTTACTCTGTTTATGTGTATTGTGTACCCAATGTCACTCTGTGTATGAGTATTGTGTACCCAATGTTACTCTGTGTATGTGTATTGTGCACCAATGTTACTCTGTGTATGAGCACTGTGTACCAATGTTACTCTGTGTATGTGTATTGTGTACCCAATGTTACTCTTTGTATGCGTATTGTGTACCCAATGTTACTCTGTGTATGTGTATTGTGTACCAATGTTACTCTGCGTATGTGTATTGTGTACCCAATGTTACTCTGTGTATGTGTGTTATGTACTCAATGTTACTCTTTGTGTGAGTAATGTGTACCCAGTATTACTCTGTGTATGAGTACTTTTTGCCCAATGTTACTTTGTGTATGAGTATTGTGTACCCAATGTTACTCTGTGGATGAGTATTGTGTACCCAATGTTACTCAAGTTATTATTTGTCAATGCTTTGTTTCTAGGAAACAAGTGAATTGAAGTTAACAGTTTTCCCTGATTGCAAATTGTCACATCATATTTAAATGGTGGTGATTACAAATAAGTAAAATATGGCCAGGGCGTCCTTTAATTAGAACTCACCCACAGTAATCCAAAGTTTCTTGTTGAGTACATTCATTGACATCAACGCATGCTTCCTTGCTTTCCAATAGAACGAATCCAAACTTAATGTTAATATTATACATTTTTACAATTTCTGTTCAGAGTATCAGAATATTATAATGTAAACTATGCAAAATAATTACTAATTAGATATTGATAAACCAAAAGAAAGTATCTGCTGCTTATTGATCTCCAAGTTAGGCAGAGTTGCAGACTTTAAAATTAATTCAATTCCTTATCAATATCCCGTGGAGGTCATATAACCTGCAGAGATAATTTAATTGCAAGATGAAGCATTAATCCTCAAAATGAAAGTGTCCACAATGTAGATCAAGTGTTTAAGATTAATGATACTTTACAAAGAAAACCCTGCTTCTGTATTACCTTGCACAGTGGTAGTGTTGTAAAGGCTTCAATTTCAACAAAGGCAAATACTTGATCTTCCTCCTTAACTTCCTCCAACTGATCCAACTATAGACATGAGGAATTTGGTTTATGCGGGTCAAATTTATATTGTAGAATTATTTTTCTGAATTTATCAGTTTGCTTTTAATATGTAAAACATCTTTTACAATTACAACCAATAATCATCGATAATTTTCAACGCATTCCTATATATAGTTGATATTTCGTAGTATTTCTTTATTTTTTATGATCTGAGAGTTACATTAAAAAACTTTTATTCTTGTTTCGGAGATTTTTTTAATATACGAAATTTTCATATTTTCCAGGAATGTTCGAAAATCCATCGCCAGCTAATTATCATTTAAATAAAACAAAATAAAAAGTATATACGAATGCGTCGATAAATAATCGATGACTATTGTTTGTAATATCTAAATGATTTGTTTCAAATTAAATTGATTATTTTACGATCAGAGTTGAATGTTGCAACTTTGTTGAATTCAGAGTTGAATTTGTATGAACGCTACGTTCTTTGGTAAATTGGTATAAGTCGTTTAACAATTTTCTCCTTATAGACACAATATAAAAGTAAGATTAATACCGATCAAAAGCTCTTATTTTCCTCCGTAAGCCTATACCCCTGTTCATTTTTCGCGAACACTCCCTTTAATTTTTCCTACTTTTGCAATGGTGCATATTTTCTGTTCTTTGTCCAGGTGAAAAGAATTGCAAAGATCTCCCAAGAGATGACAAGCTGCTGCACAGGGTACTTCACGATCCCTTGATATCTGATTTAACAAATTCAATAGTTTTGTTGTATTATTTAATTTAAAAAGGAATAATAGATTGTTGAATCCTTATCTAAATAGGTCATGCAAAGCGAACAAAAAGACATATTATCAATACTCACAGATGTATATAAAACCTTTTCATTAAAATCGATTTAAACCTTTTTCTTTTACACATCAGGCAGTTTCATTTATTGCATTGCAAAATGAGTTTCCAAGAAGAACCAATAAACTAATGAGATGTATCTAAATATTATGCAAGGACAGAGAAGCAATTAACATTAAAAAGATGCACTGGAGATGTGTATGCAAGGTTATGTGGAGTAGGAATATTGTCCCTGTCTCGTAGTACATCTCTCCCAAGTCTTCTTAGAAATTTGTCCAGTTTTAGTGTACTGGCTATAATAAAATATAAATTAAGAAAAACATGGTGTTTCTTCTTAAATGTAATACACAAAAGGGATAGAAAATGACATTTTCAGTGACCCTCCATTTAAAGTGGGAAATATCCAATGTACAACGTTCAACAACTTCAAGCATTTTTGTAGATATATAAGAATAAGTCCGTTATCCTTGTTCGATCAAAAATCTAAAGGGTACTTTTGTGAATCAGACATGCCACTTAACAAATACAGGGTCACTTGAAATTACACCTAAAATTCCATTCAACAAAACATTTGAAATTTTACCTTCCTCCTGCCATAGCATAAGCTATAATTTTATAGAACAGTACTGTACGCAGAGCAGCAGTCATTGTTAGACTGGTCCCGCGCACTGGCTGGTACAGATTGGATTTCAAGCTTCCTAAACATGTTAGACTGACCCCACGCACTGGCTGGTACAGATTAGGATTTCAAGCTTCCTAAACATGTTAAACTGGTCCCACGCACTGCTGGTACAGATTGGATTTCAAGCTTCCTAAACATGTTAAACTGACCCAACGCACTGCTGGTACAGATTGGATTTCAAGCTTCCTAAAACATGTTAGACTGGTCCCACGCACTAGCTGGTACAAATTGGATTTCAAGCTTCCTAAAACATGTTAGACTGGTCCCACGCTCTAGCTGGTAAAAATCGGATTTCAAGCTTCCTAAAACATGTTAGACTGGTCCCACGCACTGCTGGTACAGAATTGGATTTCAAGCTTCCTAAACATGTTACACTTACCTCGCGCACTGGCTGGTACAAATTAGATTTTAAGCTTCCTAAAACATGCTAGACTGACCCCAAGCACTGGATGGTTTAGATTAGGACTTAAAGCTTCCTAAAACATGTTAGACTGACCACCCTGCACTGTTGGTACAGATTAGGACTTCAAGTTCTAAAACATGTTAGACTGGTCCCACGCACTGGCTGATTCAGTTTAGGACTTTAGGCTTCCTAAAACATGTTAGACTTGTACCACGCACTAACAAGCTCAGATTAAGACTTTAAGCTTCCTAAATTATGTTTGGATGGTACCACGTACTAACTGGTCCAGATTAGGACTTCAAGCTTCCTAAAACATTTTAGACTGGTCCCACGTACTAACTAGTTTAGATTAGGACTTCCAACCTTCCTAAAACAAGTTAAACTGGTCCCACGCACTAATTGGTCCAGATTAGGACTTCAAGTCTTCCTAAAACATGCAAGATTTGTCCCATGCACTAACTGATCCAGGTCAGGACTTAATTATACTTAAATATATTACGTTACAACAATGGGGTACACAGGCGGAAGGGGTGGGGGTAATTGGGGCTTAGTCCTTCCCCTGGATTAATGAAATTTTTGATTGCTGGGGGTTGTAAAGCCCTGCTGAGCCCCTTCCCTCCCCCATTAAAGATAAAATAAAATTAAGCCTCCCCTGGTAAAGTTCCTGTATATGCCCCTAGGTTACAAGCTTATATAGTTTATTTTCTATTCCCAACAATCATATCACTGTTACTCTTAACTTCTCTCTCAAACCAAAGTTAGTTGCTCAAACTAATAAAGATCTGAAAGGCCAAAGTTCTTGATTTATATACAGTGATACTGATAACCCAACATTGGACATTCAAAGCTAAAACTAGATTCGAAAAGTCGTCTTCCTATTTCATAGTTTTCTTGTTTTCACGGTAGTTTTATATAGCGTTAAATTTTAATTTAAAACAAAAACATAATATGACTTTCAATTATACGTTCTTGCCCTCCACTGCAAACAGAACGCTAAAACTGTATTCGATAGACAATAATATGAAACTTTTTTTGATTAGTACTGTACTTAGTACTTGCATGAAAATGTGGTGAATTTCTAAAAGTTTCTATTTAAACTAGTTTAAAAACTGGTAAACATTTTGTTATTTGGGTAACAAGCCTATATGAAAACTCATTTTTTCTAAAAACGGGTAACTTTTGTTCTTTTGGTGTGCATACGATATCATTTAAACTTTGTACAGATCTTAAAGAAAACTTAGAAATAAATAAGATTAGTATGTATAAAACAATCTTTACTTACAAAAAAAGAATGAATTTTTGCTCGTTGTTCAATATATTAACTACTTTTTCATACTAATTAGGTTGGGTTTTAAAACCAAGACTACATTAAAATTTAATTTCTGGTTACCTTGGTTTGTATATTTCAAGTTTAATAATTATATGAAAGAAAGGTCCATGTGAACTAGTTTTATTATTATGCAAACGCAGGCTCAGAATTTCTGCTAACATTTGGATCAACTAATTTAAGTATTAATATATTTTTTCCAGAACTTGCAAATACATTTAAAACTTTTTTTTAATAAAGATAATACACATATATAGAGTGTCTTATATTGATTTTTTTCTTCATTGAAGGAATAATGTCTTTTTCAAAAATGTGATTAAATACGTATATAAATTAACCGCTCATAACTTGTAATTACGCTGTAAATAACCCAATTCTAATATGAACAACAAAATATAGATCAGTTGATTGAGACTCTGCTTTGATTACTGTGTTAAAAATAGACCGTGTTCTTGTTGAAACATTACATTGCTAGTTTATTTAGCATTGAATTGAATATAGCTTGAACGATAGCTTGTGATTTCGTTGAATTATATATACGAGTGTAGATTGTGCCTTGAATATTGGCTTTGAATCGAAAATATCTTGAAAGATAGCCTTTAATCTCATTAAATTATACGAGTGGAGATCTTGCCTTGATAATTGGCAATCTGATCAAATATGGCTTGAAAGACAGCTTGGGTCCTTTTTGAATTATACGGTTGAGATTAGGACTGTGTGTCCTTCAGAACCGGGGAGTTAAGCCTGGTAGAGAAATTGCCTGTGTAGCAATTTCAATAGCCTGTGTGGCTTTTATACTTAGGGAGTTAAGTCATGTTGAGAAATTTCCTGTGTAGCAATTTCAATAGCCTATGTGGCTTTTATAACTTGGGAGTTAAGTCTGGTTGAGATTTTGGACTGTGTGTCCTTTGGAACTGGAGAGTTAAGCCTGGTTGAGATATTGCCTTTGTGGCATTCAGAAACGAAGAGTTAGTCCTGGTTGTTCTTGGTAATGAGTAGACCCATGGATAGAAACGTCTCGAGTAAAGCTGTTATAGAGCAGGTATTTGCTACAAAGCAAACTTAATGNGTTAAAAAAAGTAAATGTGGATAATCATGTGTAAAATATTGGATATATCTATATCTTTAGGGTTTCCGACACAAGTGGATTTTACTTCCGTTCATTTTAGCACAATTTTGCACAATTTCGCGCAATTCAAGAACGATTCCGAGCAATTCTGCACAACAGAATTTTTAATGAAAAATATGATATCTTTATACAAAAGATTATTATCCTAAAATTGAATTTGCTGTGCAAGCCATGTAGTTGCTTTACCTAACCATTAATATTAAAGTAACCTCATTAATTATTAACTTTTTTGCTATGGACCAACACAAACTCACTTAGACTCCGGGTTAACTAAGTAAAAAAACCGTACCTCAAAATCTATTCTCACTACAAACAAGGTTTGCGTTGAACTCAATTTATTTTAAAGATTCATTATCTGCTCGGACCGTTGAGGCCGGTCAGCGCATTTAACTATTAAAAACATATATTTACAAAGATAGGATTAAAATACGATAGATCAGAACATTTTGCTACATCCATAAAAGTTGGAAACTCCTCTGGTTTGAACCAGATTATTCTAAGAGGGATCCTTAATCAAATCAAATCAAATCAAATATTATACATAAAACATGGGATTTAGAGGGGGGGGTCAAATTGACCCCCCCCCAGCGTATCCTGGTTTTCAAGTACCCCAGCGGGGATAGGGTTAAAAGAGATTAATCATTAATTCACATACTGGGGGTATATCAATTGATTCATGTTCTGTGTCTGGAGTTATACCTACGTTTTCGCAGAAAAAACACAGATATGTTATTAACGGTGTGGTTATGAATGGTTCTGCATTTAATTATATGAAATAGTTTGTATGTTTTATTTTACATTAATTAATTCATATATTGTAGATTTTAATTTTATGAAACAGAAAAAAAATATGTTTTAAAGAATATATGTTTTAAACACCAAAAAAAAACAAGACAACGTCATAAATATGTTATTATATTACATAACATCTGTAAAATAGTTCGTTTAACCCTAACCCTATCCCGTATATTTACTAACCTAGTAACCCGAACCCTATCCTGTATATACACTAACCTAGTAACCCTAACTCTATTCTGTATATTTACTAACCTAGTAACCCTAACCCTATCCTGTATATTTACTAACCTAGTAACCCGAACCCTATCCTGTATATATACTAACCTAGTAACCCTAACTCTATCCTGAATATTTACTAACCTAGTAACCCTAACCCAATTCTGTATATTTACTAACCTAGCAACCCTAACCCTATCCTGTATATTTACTAACCTAGCAACCCTAACCCTATCCTGTATATTTACTAACCTAGCAACCCTAACCCTATCATGTATATTTACTAACCTAGCAACCCTAACCCCATCCTGTATATTTACTAACCTAGAAACCCTAACCCTATCCCGTACATTTACTAGTAACCTTGTAATTTCATTTTTACTATTGATTTTGTTTCAAGGCGACCATTTAATTTTATTTAATATTTAATTATAAGTATCTTTTACATGATTATTAGATAGATTGATAGTTTTAATTAAAATCTAACTATTAAAAGTACTTAAGTTGCTCATTATTTTGAAAACTGAAGT